CCACAGCATGGCTTGTCAAGCAGTGCCATGTCCACACTCGGAATCCGAACCAGGGAACCCAGGGCCGCCAGAAGCAGAATGTGCGCACTTAACCACCGTGCCACCGGACCGACCCCTGGATGGGCTATGTAATAGCTAATGGGCTTCCTTTTTTTTTTTTTTTAAGTCATAATTCACTGGGAGCAAAGTTAAGGTGGAGATTGATATTCTTCATGCTGTGTTCCCTTAAAAGAAGTCTACTTAGTTTTAGATTTGGAGCCATAACCCTAGATACAGATGCTGACTTGAGTCTCATTGTTGTACTCTGTTCTCATTTTTTGCTGTTTGTCAGCTGAAGTAAAAATAGTTGCTCGTTTCTTGAAATCTTTTGATAGTAAACACTTTGCAGCTATTTCACAATTTTTCATGAAATCTTGACCTTCAAGTTAAATTATTAAAGGGAGAAATATTTTCATTGGAATTTGTTTATGTGTATAGTTTGCAAATCAGATGTAAAAAGTAAGAAGTTTCTGGCTGGCCCGGTGGCACAGCAGTTAAGTGCACATGTTCTTCTTCTCGGCAGCCTGGGGTTTGCCAGTTTGGATGGCAAAAGGCCATGCTGTGGTAGGCGTCCCACGTATAAAGTAGAGGAAGATGGGCATGGATGTTAGCTCAGGGCCAGTCTTCCTCAGCAAAAAGAGGAGGTCTGGCAGCAGATGTTAGCTCAGGGCTAATCTTCCTCAAAAAAAAAAGAAGTTTCTCTTTTCCTTATTTTGAAAACTCTTCTTCTCAGTTTAAAATGCATGTTAATTAACATATACTAATATTGTCTATTCTATAAGTCTGCAAATAGATTACTTTCTTTTGAAAGAAATTGCACTGATGTGGGGAGAATAAATAAACGAAATATTAAAATTAACCCTCAACAGCGTAATCAGAACTCAAATTGAGAGTTTCCACATGTTACTGGGACCATACTTTTTCCCTCTTTCTCCTTGTATAAGATCATGCTTATTTGGATGAATAGATGTCAGAAATCATTGTCTTATAAAGGATACTTAAGAGTGTTTGTTACAGATTTAGATTATTGAATATGACATTGGCTAAGATTGACAAAAGAAGAATAAGTGTGTGTATATATATATATGCACACATAAATACACACATAGGTACATATATATGTATATTCATTATGTTTAAGTTTGCATTAGTTTGCCCATTTACAAATATGATCAGCTTCATGAGTTCTCTATACTACTTATTTATAAAACTGTAATCCTTATTTCTAAAACAGCTCCAAGAAAATTAGGATTGACATTTGTAAACTTGGGGTCACTATAGCAACATCATAGGGCTATTCGAACGTATTAAGCAAAGTCAAGATAAATTAATTGGAATTGTGCATCAACATAGGCCTAGTCAAGCAGAAATACAAACAAAAATTGATTCTTAACAGACTTTAGTTGAAGGTGCAAATAGCCAGAATTTCCCATGTTTGTCTTGCATTGAAATACCTTGCCCGGCTTTGTTCATAGTACAGCAAAAGTGCTGCTAATTGATATAAAAAGTGATATATTGATTGCCGGGAAGCTGTGTAGGAAAACTTGAAAACCCATTTCATTAAACAAGCCGGGAATATTTAGGATACATGTCACTTGGTGGTGGCACTAAATTTCATTCTCTGGAAATCTTTCTCAGTGCTGGGTCTTTATGTCCACATGTTTCCATGTTGTTGGTAAATTTGTGTTTCTGCCTTTTCAAAAAATTTCAGCCTTAAAGGTTTGCTCAGCTAAGCAAAAGGTAGCTGACTAATATTTAATGAAGATTTTTCATTGAAAGCTAACATTTACAAGGTAAGAAATGTCATACTTGGGGCTGGCCTGGTGGTGTAGTGCTTCACGTTCGTACGTTCCCTTTCGGCTGCCTGGTTGTGGCTTCGGATCCTGGGCGTGGACATAGCACTGCTCATCAAGCCACGTGTAGCCGTGTCCCACATAAAGTAGAGGAAGATGGCACCGATGTTAGCTCAGGGCCAATATTCCTCACCAAAAATAAATAAATAAATAAGTAAATAAATAAAACTGTCAAACTTTAACAATCTAGGCCTAAGACTGCAGTGGACAGAGAAGTGGCAGAAAGGCTGGAAATTAAGGAGCGAGGATGGAAACTCCCCAGCCTCAACCTCTGACATTCCCTTCTGTCTTATTTTAGGTGGTGAAAAGGCCCTGAGATGTAACAAACACCCCTCATTTCATCACATAGCTTTTGGCATTTGATAAATTTACTTGAAACAGAGCAACCCTTTTCTAGATCACAGTCAGAATAAAGACAGTTACAAATGTTAAGTTTCATCTGTTTCATGGTGCTGTGGGCTCCTAACTAGTCTGTATTGTGAGCTTTCTTGTTGGGAAAAACTTTGAACAAATTTCTGGTTTGGATAGAAAATACTCTCCAGGAATACATATGGTAATTTAGCACCACGAGAAAATGTGAGGAGGACTGCAGGGAATACCTGATAAGCTGAAGAACTCTTAAAGGAAAGGAATTATTATTTTCTTCTGTAATAGAATTATTCCATGTTCTTTTTCTTCTTAACAAAAATAGCAAAAACTGATATCCTTGATCAAAATTATTTTAATGTGAGGGGTTACATAATTACAATTTTTATCAAAGTATAAAATACATGTATAGTTTAAGTAGACTTATGATTTAAAATGAAAAATAATAGTCCATTCTGCACCATCTCCTATCACCTTTTCCCATATACGTATGCATCAGCTTTTTTCTGTAATTAATAAATCCCAAGTTATACATCATTATTTACTGTAGCACTTAAAAAACATTGCCTAGCCTACAGAGATTCTGATTCAGTTGAATGCACCAAGATGAAATACAATCTGAATAAACCAGTAGGTATCAATTTAGTCACTTTTGTGATCAAATAGAGTTAATGGTTTAAAACAACAGCCATTCTCAAAGTGTGGTGTATGGACCCCTCAGGGACCTGAAGACTCAGGATTAGAGTCCTTAGATTCCACCGTTAAGAAACTATCACTTACTGAGTTTTGGTGCAGTGTCAAAGCAGAATATCCACAATTATCTAAAAACCTGTTGGAATACTCCCTTTTCCAACTATGTATCTGCTTAAGGTTGCTTTAGACCAAGAACTTTGTGATCTCTTGACTTAAAAAAGAAATAACACTTCATATGTATTAGTGGGATGGTCTGACCATGTAAATCATAAAAAAATCTGGAAATTATTAGTAACTAAAATATTGATATTTGTAGGGATTGTAAATATGGTCTGAATAAAACAAAGTTATGGATCAATTTTCATATATTCTGAAGGATAAATCCAAAATCTTTCTTTAAGCATTCTAAATAGTTAGCAAATTAATTTCTTTTCAAGGATAGTATATTCAACTTCTTGTCATGTGGATTGGATTTGCCCTGAATGATAAGGGAGACACAAACAGATGGAAGTTTGCAGAGCCAAGTTTGCATTTTTTTAGGTTCTGTGTATGCACTTTCATCAAAATCATGCATTTCGTAACTGCCAATGTTTGGCTAGCCAGCTACAGAAGTTATATTTCTTTCACTGGTGCTTTCTATTTGTTTTTGTTGTTGTTTTGTTTTTCTTCAATCTATTCAGTTTTAAAATGGGAAAGAAGGTGAGATTTCCTAGACCCTGGGATTTACTTTGGGGCAGGTGGTTGTATAAGCCATGAAGCTGGATGAGGGCCAGTTATAAAAAGCTGGTAGATTAGTACTTTAGCAGCAATAGCTTCAGTAAATCAGACTTTCTGGACTTGAATGTTTCCATGTGGATTTGAAACGTAAAATTGGTCTACACTTAGTAACAAATTTTTTTAAGATTGTTGATTTTAGAGACTTTCTGCCTCTTTTAAGTTCACAAAGTGGCCGTTGTTGTTTTAGGAAATGACAGTGGCTTTGTTTTAAATGTTGATGGAGAGTGTAGAGAACATAACGAGTACTATTTCCAAGGGCTTTTGTAACCCTTCTCTTCTGGAGTCGGGGCAGAGCAAGGGGGCTATGGAGTACAATATTGGCTTTCCAGATTAGTTTACTTGCACAATTCCTAAGAGTTAAGAGAAAAGGAGAGAAATCAGAAAAATCTGGAAGATGGTTCTTGACACCACCATCATTGCCAAGAAAAGTTAGGGTTATTGTTTCCCTTTGCCCTTTACAAAGTGAATTGATGAAGAACGTTCTTATCACCCTATCACTTTTTTGGTTCTCTCTTCATTACTTTCAGGCAACTACTAGAGGGTCATAAAATAATAGCTAAGCTAATAGGAAGACTACTGTGCTCATTGTAAGGATTAAAATCTTAAACTTTAATCTCTTTTGGCCTCTGGACGTCAGTGTTTCTCTTTCTGAACAGGACCCTGAATACTATGCAAGGAGGCCTACTCTTGTACTGTGCTTTTTGAATGAACCCTTTCATTTATAGCTGAGATTTGATCAGTTTAAAAGAAAGTAATGTATTTAGTTAGTGATATTACACACTTTTTGTATTATGTACCATCAGAATTTTTAAGTTAATAAGGACAGCCATTAGTCAGATGGTGGCAGAATTGTGTTGAATCCATGTTTGGTTTTTTGAAGTGTTCTTTTTTTCAAAATTTGGATACTCATTTCTTATACTTTCTTCTTGTTTCCTTCTGAATCTTTTTAAAGCTTCTTGAATTTTTAAATCTAATTTTGACACTATGGAATAAGGTATTATTAACTTGATGAGGCAAGTCTTGGTGACTAAAATTTTAACTGCCTTAACTAACTGGGACAAATCATAGCTGGCAGCTAAACTCTAAGTTTAATCATGTTCAACACGTATTAGCTGTTGGAGTCGGAGCTTGATGTGGTAAATAGTCTACCATGTGTGTGGAGGTCTCTGTGTGTAAACATTCCGAGGTGAATTAATCTTTTTGGTGGTTCTTTGGTTGAAAAATTTTGAGTGCTTTTCCCTTTTTTCATTCTTAGATGAAGGAGAAACTCATAAAATTAATGCCTGCAGCAGTTCTATTAACGTAATTTTAGAGTCCAGACTATTTCCTTCAGCAGAACTGAACTGTTAAATAGCTTTTTATTGCATTCATTCTGGTAGAAATTTCAAGAAGCTTCAACTTGTAAATATTTTCATCCCACCTGAATCATAGGTAAGTGAAATGTGTTAGGACAAAAACCTTTAATCTTTAAACTGGGTTATATATATACACATATATATATATATATATATATTTTTTTTTTTAAGATTTTATTTTTCTCCTTTTTCTCCCCAAAGCCCCTGGGTACATAGTTGTATATTCTTAGTTGTGGGTCCTTCTAGTTGTGGCATGTGGGATGCCGCCTCAGCGTGGTTTGATGAGCAGTGCCATGTCTGCACCCAGGATTCGAACTGATGAAACACTGGGTCGCCTGCAGCGGAGTGCGCGAACTTAACCGCTCCGCCACGGGGCCAGCCCCTAAACTGGGTTATATTTTTAAGGGCGTTATTCTCCAGATTCTCAGATTCAGATGTGCCCTTAACTAAAAATCCTCTCTCCTGAGAATAGATGCGTAAGGTCTTCTGCTTCTCCTTTTCCATTTTGCTTTGTCCAAAAGCCCTTACCCCACTGCAAAAGAAACGTATCTCTCAATTATGGCAATTCTTAGTGTAGGTTACTGCCCCAGGCTATAAAAATCTCTGGGGCCCCCAAAGAAGGGAAAGTTTCAGAATGCATAGGCCCAGAGAGAGTCCTATGACAGAAATCCAAAGAGGGGTTGGGTCAGAAATTTTGGAGGAGGCAGAACCTTATTCCATCTGGACAACCAACTTCTTCCTTCTCTATTTTCTAAGTTAGAATTAGATTAGAAAGTCACATATTTATCACAGGGATGTGTATCAACATATTTCTTTCCCCTTTTTTTGAGGAAGATTAGCCCTGAACTAACTACTGTCAATCCTCCTCTTTTTGCTGAGGAAGACTGGCCCTGAGCTAACATCCATGCCCATCTTCCTCTACTTTATATGTGGGACTTGTGCAACAGCATGGCTTTTGCCAAGCGTTGCCATGTCTGCACCCGGGATCAAAACCGGTGAACCCTGGGGTGCCAAGAAACGGAACGTGCGCACTTAACCACTTCGCCACTGGGCTGGCCCCAGCATATTTATTTCAATTAAAATGAGATATGACTTTGACAAATCTATTTTGCTTGATTGGTTTAAAATGGGCTGACCAGTTTGATTATTATGTGGTTAGTATTTTTCATAAGTTGGGCAAAATCTTTAGTGCCACAGTTTTGATAAATATATTTAAAGCACATAGAGTACAACATATAAAATGCCAGAGGGGCTGGCCCAGTGGCCAAGTGGTTAAGTTCGTGCATTCTGTTTCTGTGGCCCAGGGTTTCGCCAGTTCAGATCTTGGGTGTGGACCTAGCACCGCTCATCAAGCCATGCTGAGGCAGCATCCCACATGCCACAACTAAAAGGACCCACAAATAAAATGTACAACTATGTACAAGGGGGCTTTAGGGAGAAGAAGGGGAAAAAAATGGGCAGAGGATATGAACAGATGTTTTAAATAAATAAATAAATAAAATAAAATGCAGAAATTATATTATTTGCAACTATTAAGCTTAATAACATTTTTTTATTTTTACTTTTTTGCTGAGGAAGATTAGCCCTGAGCTAACATCTGTGCCATTCTTCCTCTACTTTATATGTGGGTCGTTGCCACAGCATGGCTGATGAGTGATATAGGTCTGCACCCGGGATCCAAACCCATGAACCTAGGCTGCCAAAGCAGAGTGCCTGAACTCAACCACTATACCACAGGGCCCTCCCCTTAATAACAAATTTTAGATGTCAAATTAAAATACAAAAAGGTACATATTTTTTCTCTCTACACAAAAACCCGCATATAGAAGTTTATAGCAGCTTTATTCATGATTGCCAAGACTTGGAAGCAACTAAGATATCCTTCAGTAGGTAATTGGATAAATAAACTGTGGTACATCCAGACAATGAAATATTATTATGTAGTGCTAAAAAGAAACGAGCTATCAAGCCATGAAAAGACATGGAAGAAACTTAAATTCATATTACTAAGCAAAAGAAACCAATCTGAAAATGCTACAATATTGTATGATTACCACTATATGATTCTGGAAGAGGCAAATCTATGGAGACAGTAAAAAGATCAGTGAATGCCAGGAGTTAAAGAGAAGAGAGGAACAAATGGTGGGAGCACAAAGGATTTTTAGTGCTGTGAAACTACTCATCATGATACTATAATGTTAGATACGTGTCATTATAAATTTATCTAAACCCACAGAATTAGACCAAGAGTAAACCCTAGGGTAAACAGTGTACTCTGGATGTGTCATATAATGATGCACATGCTAAGAGTAAACTTATTAAAGACTTCCAAGGAAAAGAATATTATCTTAGGACACTATTTTCAGGTAGAGAACATGCTAGGGATCCTCAGATGGGCCAAGGACCTGAAATCGAGACAAGCCAGAAATTCTGGCTGTGCAAACAGTATTCTTTGGCATGGGAGAGTTATGCTTCAGATCAGAACCTGTCTGCAACTCTGGCGAGCTTGGGAATAACTTGGAAATGTCTCCTCTTACTGACTAAACCTCTGCTATAGAGAAAATGGACAGTATGTTTTCTATTCCCCTGGGGACTTCACCTTTTCATCAGCCTTGTCTGTCTACTCTGTCAATGAACAAGAATAGGTCAAGAATTATATTTTAATACGGCACAATTTCACCCATCCTGATGCGATAATCAAGGGGAACTCCTGACAGGAACAAATTTATAATTGCTATGATGACCTCCAGGCCATATTTGATCCTGTCAATCTTGACTAGAGCATCTTCTTGGGAAGTTCCAGTGCCAGGTGGATGTGAGGGAGATGCCTTTGCCTAGCGTTCTTGAACCATTTCTCCTGGATAGTAGTAAAGGAACGCTACCAAGTCTGGCCCACAGATCAGTGCTGGTCTGCTGTGCATTGCCAGTCCATGATAAATACAAGTATTGAGAGTAAGCATTTAGAAACTTTTATAGCAGTTTTTTTTTTCTTTTTTGTATATATCCAGTATGTCTCTTTATAATAGTATTGATGTATACTATTTATAAAGATATTGGTATAGGTATATGTATGTGTGTGTGTGTATATATATATGTACCTTACCTATGTGTGTGTCTATAAACAATATACTATTTCACGTGATTTAAAATTTCATGTAAATGGTATCACACTGCATGTATCTATAGTGAATTTTAGAAATAATGTTTAGTATCCATTGCATCGTCTTTTCTAGTGTTCTTTGCTTATATTGCAGATGCGTTAAAGCTAAAGACTGCGTTTCCCAGGTTCCCTTGCAACTATTTCTGGATTTGATTTAAATTCTGCCTGTCAAAAATGCACTCGTGTAAAATTTGTAAGGCAGAATTAGAACAGAATTAGAGGTCTCAATGTCTAGTCACTGACTGAGATTTTGAGAAGCAGGACATTTTGATGGTGGTGTCATAGGAGGCACATGTGGTTCTGGAGCTAACCACAGAAGTCAGCAGCCTCTCCTTGTGGTGACTTCCTGATTTTGATGATCACCTGATTTGGTCAGCTGCTTCTTTTGCTGGCTTCTTAATTGTGGCAATAAGAGATATGCTTATGGAGTCAGTGGCTTTCTGGTTATAGAAGGAAGAGCAGGTCTGTTGGTGGCCTGAGTAGTGCTTTGGAAAGCTTCTTGTGTCCAGGGGAATAAATGTGGGAGTCTAGGGCCAAGAGTGAGAGCTCTGGTAAAATCCTTTTCTTTTGGGTTGGGATCCTAAAGAGCTGTGCTGTAGGACTAAGGGTGAATTGGAGGTAAACTAGCCCTCAAATGAACTGCAACCTAATTTCAAGTCATCTGGATGGGCAGAATATCTAGATCCTTAAAACATTCTTAGAGAGAGTCTGGGTTTATATAGCCCTAGGTAAATGAAAATCATGACTGGAGAAAGAAAATATCCTAGGCCCAAATTGTTAGCACAGAGAGACAAAAGGATGGAAAACACCGAAGAGAAAGAGAGTAGATACCATGGGAAGGTCCAGCTCACATCCGGTTGGAGTCTCAGAGGAGTGGAAAGAAGGAATGAGGAAGAACCAATATTTGAAGACATAGTGACTGAAAGTTTTTCAAAACCTATAGGAATTCTGTTTTGTCAGCATGATTATCTGTTAATTGTGTAATCTGTATTTTCTCAGCAGGTTTTTTGTTTTTTTTTCAGATAATTTTCTTTATCTTGTTGGGTTTCCTCAAAGTGTAGGTTCATATTATTCATTGAATCTGGAATATCCTTAGCCATTAACCCTTGAAAATTGCCTCTTTCCCACTCTCTCCATTCTCTTCTTTCAAAGTCCCATTAGATATGCTAATCTTCCCATTCTAAACTCCATGTTTCTAAACCTTTCTCTTATAGCTTCAGAATAAAGCTCTCCCCTGACAGCTGCTTTCTTCAGACCTGTCCTCCAGGTTCTCTGTCTCTTTCCAGCTATGTTCAGTCTGCTGGTTAACCAATTATTAATTTCATTGAGTATACTTTTCATGTTTCTCAAAGTTCTGTTTGAAATCAGCTAGTTTTTTAAATAGTATTTTGTGTTTGGTGGGATGTTTTTTCTGGTTTTGTGTCTTTAATGGTTTATTTCATGCTTTTAACCATCTTAAATATCCTGTGTCCAATATCTGTGGTTCTTGAGTATCTAATCCAGCTGTGTTATATTGGCTTTACTTCACTCATGGTTAATTGATTCTTGATATGTTTTGAAATTTTAGCCTGTCAGCTTATCTTTGGCAAGGTTTTGTCTGTGAGAAATGCTTGCTGGCAAAATCAAACATAATATATCTCTGGAAGAACAACAGAAGTTTTCCCAGACATAAGCATAAGCCCACACAGGCCTGTAGTTGTGAATTCTCGGGAGTCTTCTGTCCTCTTCCTTTTCCTCTTCTTTCCTGTAACCATCCAGATAGCCAAGACAGAAGTTTGCCTGCCATCTCCTTTTGCTTCTGTATCATCTCCCTGTGCCACTGAACAGATTTTATCTCCTTTGTCACTGTCCTTGGACTATTTTGGTTTTGATCAGCTTTATTTAGGTATGAGTTACATACAATAAAATTTGCCAATTTTAAATGTACAATTCGATGAGTAATTATTGCCACAATTATAATAATAGAGCATTTCCATGGCCCTTTGGAGCCAGCCTCCTCTCCCCAACCCCTGATCTGTTTTCTATTGCTAGAAGTTTGCCTTTTCTAGAACCTAATGTAAATGTAACCATACAGAGTAGTTTTATGTCTAGCTTGTCTTCACTTATTGCTTTTGTGATTCATCCATGTTCATGGCATGCATCAGTAGTTTGTTGCTTTTTATTGCTGAGTAGTATTCCATTATATGGCTATACCAGATTTGTTTATCCATTTACTTGTTGATGGTCATTTGGGTTATTTTCACTTTGGGGCTATTATGAATAAAGCTACTAGAGAATTCTTATATAAGACTTTGTGAGGATGTATGTTTTCATTTCTCTTGAATAATACCTAGGGGTATAATGGCTGTGTTATATGTTAAATGTATATTTAACTTTATAAGGAATTGCCAAAATGTTTTCCAACCAGCTGTACCACATTGCTTTACCACCAGCAATGTGAGAGTTCCATTTGCTTCATATCCTCACCAACTCTTGGTATTACCAGTCTTAATTTTTGTCATTCTAGTAGGTAAGTATTAGTTTCTCATCATGATTTCAATTTGCATTTCACGAGCGACTAACAATTTTGAGCATTTTTTTCGTGTACTTCGTCATTCGTTTGTCTTCTTTGGTAAAGTATCTGTTGAACTGTTTTGCTAGTTTTTAATTAGATTCTTTATCGTTTTGCTATTGAGCCATAAAAGGTCTTTTTATGTTTTGGACACATTTTTTGTTGGATATATATTTTGTATATATTTTCTCCCAATCTGCAGCTTAAAATCCAATTTATAAACTTTTTATTAATTTTTTTATTTTATTTATTTTTTTTAAAGATTGGCACCTGAGCTAACAACTATTGCCAATCTTTTTTTTTTTTTTTCCCGCTTTTTCTCCCCAAATCCTCCCAGTATATATGGTTGTATATTTTAGTTGTGGGTCCTTCTAGTTGTGGCATGTGGGATGCCACCTCAACATGGCCTGATGAGCGGTGCCATTTCCACACCCAGGATCTGAACCAGCGAAACCCTGGGCCGCCAAAGCGGAGCACATGAACTTAACCACTCAGCCACGGGGCTGGCCCCTATAAACTTTTTAATAAAAGTGCAGTTATGTGCCTTCAGAAATCTTTGCCTAATTTAAATACTGAGTCTTTCAAACCAAGAGGATGGGTTATCTATTTAGTTTAATTTCTTAGTAATATTTTATAATTTTCAGAGTACACGTCTTATACATCGTTTGTCAGATTTATCCCTATTCAGTTTTTTTTATGCTATTGTAAGTGGTATTTTTCCAAATTTCAGAGTTTGATTGTTCATTGCTCATTTATAGAAAGACAGTTGATTCCTGTTTTTTAATCTTGTATCCTGAGACATAGTTAAATTCATTTTAGTTCTAGTACCTTTTTTGTATGTTCCTTGGCGTTGCCTCCATAGACGATTATGTCATCTGTGAGTAAAGATAATTTTACTTCTTCCTTTCTAGTCTTTATGTCTTTCATTTCTTTTTCTTGCCTACATGCACTGGCTAGAACCTCTAGTACAATGTGGAGCAGAAGTGATGAAACCTGTATCTTTGCACTCAGGAAAACTTCCCCTGGGGCTGTTTCTTCCTATGCCTACAATGTCCATTGTCCTAAATCATATTTGCGGTGTTCAGATGGGTTGGAAGAAACAGTGTGTGGGAGTTGACTACTACACTATGAAGCTAGATTTGTGTTTTAGACTAAAGAGTGTTGTAGCCAAGAGTGAGCTGGTCATCTCTGGCCTGTTTTTATTGCTGTAATATACTCTGAGTGGAGATAATTTGAAATGGACATGCGAACATATGATTGCAGGATGAGTTGTAATATAAGGTGGAAGTTGGCTTTAAATAAATTAAAGGAGACCTTCATGAGAAAACAGGTAAGACAACCACTACTCACTCACTCCCATCTTCTCCTTATTCATAATCTAATAGGAAGTTTCATTTTCTAACCGCGCTATTCATTAGTACTAGGTGGCTTTAAGAAAAGGCATAATCTTGGGGCCGGCCTGTTGGTGCAGCGGTTAAGTTTGCACGTTCCACTGTGGCAGCCCAGGGTTCACCAGTTCAGATCCCAGGTGCAGACCTACGCATCACGTGGCAAGCCATGCTGTGGCAGGTGTCTCACGTATAAAGTAGAGGAAGATGGGCACGGATGTTAGCTCAGGGCCAGTCTTCCTCAAAAAAAACGGAGGGGGATAATCTTTGATTCGAAACTATCATCTTTTGACATCAGAGTTCAATTTGCGAGTTTAACTCTATTGACTTACTGTTGTGTAGGAGTTTTTCTTGTCTTATAATGGAAAAAATACCTTGATCAAAGCAATTAGATAGATAAAAGGAAACTTTTCTGAGAAACTTTTCCAGCCCATTAAATGAAATTCTTGTGTGTTCAGAATGATCTTCTGTATTACAAATTGCTCCATATTTAGTGAGTCAGGTACCTGCTTCCTAATACTTTGTCAGCATGTGAGTAGGAGAAAGTATAAAGAAAGTAAGCATTGAAGAGTACGTGCTTCAATGGGAAAAACTTCTAACATCTCTCTTAGAACCTGAAACTTTTATAGGCTATGTGTTACGTGAATTTTGCGAGAAGGTAGGTCAAACGAGGCATTTAGTTATTTATGGTAATTTGAGGCATTATATTAACTGCTAAACCAAATAGGTTTATTTGAAATACAAAGGCTACATTTATTGAAAAGAGTTTATTTCAGTTATGGTTTCCTAAATGGTGAGGAGCTATTTTCCTTTTAGCTACTAAAAACTGGGCAATATAATGGCTCTAAAACTTTTTCTGATAATGTCCTTAGAAGATAATGTCTATTGGACAAGTAACATTGAAAAACAATTCAGTTACATGAGAGCTAGGTGTAAAGGGTGGAAGTCCTTTGTTGTTGGGGGTGCTTTATTGTTGACACGCTGTTTTAATTTTATGTCTTTCAGATATTTGGATTTTAACTGCATTTGGAATTCATCTACACTTAAAATGCCACCGGCGGTTGGAGGTCCAGTTGGATACACTCCCCCAGATGGAGGCTGGGGGTGGGCAGTGGTAGTTGGAGCTTTCATTTCCATTGGTTTCTCTTATGCATTTCCAAAATCAATTACTGTGTTTTTCAAAGAAATCGAAAGTATATTCAATGCCACCACCAGTGAAGTGTCATGGATATCCTCCATCATGTTGGCTGTCATGTATGGTGGAGGTAAGTACCCCCTGAGGCCTGCTGTTTTAATTTTCATTAAGCAGCCAAAGGCTCTGAATTAGCTAACTTTATTTTCTTTCTCGGTGAGGAAGATTTGCTCTGGGCTAACATCTGCCAGTCTTCTATCTTGTATGAGGGATACTTCACAGCATGGCTGATGAGTGAAGTGGGTCCATGCCTGGGATCTAGACCTGGGTCACCAAAGTGGAGCGTGTGGAACTTTAACCACTCAGCCACGAGGCTAGCCCCAATTTTTTTTTTTTAACGTCTTATTCAGTGAGTTTTGGAATGTTATGTCTTGAAGCTTTATGTTTAGAGTCACGTTTTTCAATCCTGTTAACAATGGCAACTGAACAGCATAGTTCAAAGTCTCAGGTGAAATCTTTTCATGGTGTTAGAATTAAAGAACTGAAAAAAATCTCCCCCTTATTCCTTGTGATGTTATTAGTCCTAAAAGCATTTCAGCTGCACCTTAAATTTAAGTTTTATCAATTTTTCCCTTCTGTTTTCTTTGACATGTGAAGGAGATGTGGAAAGTAAGTTGCTTACTTAACATCATTTATTTATTTAGTTTTTGAGGAAGATTAGCTCTGAGCTAACTACTGCCAATCCTCCTCTTTTTGCTGAGGAAGACTGGCCCTGAGGCATCCATGCCCATCTTCCTCTACTTTATACGTGGGACGCCTACCACAGCATGGCTTTTGCCAAGCGGTGCCATGTCCACACCCAGGATCCGAACTGGCAAACCCCGGGCCGCTGAGAAGCAGAATGTGCGCACTTAACTGCTGGGCCACCGGGCCAGCCCCTACTTAACATCATTTAAAATACTGTTTGTTTCACCTTGGAACATCAAATCACAATTTAACGTGTAAAAGTCAAAACCTACCATAATACTTAAAATACATAGTTGCTTAGCAGAGATTCTAAAGCCAAGTATATTATTTACTCGGATTGACAATGTCTCACATTGCTTATTTAGCCAAGCTTTTATTTCTATTAATCTTCTTTTTGGGTGGCAGTTTAGTATCTCAGATTATTTTCACATGTAGCTTTTTAATAGCTAGTAAAAAAAGATTCTATATTTCAACTGTAAAGCCTTAGCATTAGGCTTCTAACCTGGTAGCACGTTCAACCACTATTTATTAAGCCCCATGCACATGTTCCACATGAGGCTAGGTGTTGTGAGTGATAGAGAACAGTGATCCTGATCCTGGCCTTTGGGAAGTTTATGATCCTGTTGAGACAATAACATAAACTCATGAAACAAGAATAAGTAGTTGAAGTCACAGTTTCATTAAATACATAATTTTATTTGCACAGGAAGAACCAGGTGACCTGGTTGCCTTAGAGAGAGATAAACTGGGTGACTGGAACAGGAATGGGAAGACTTATTTTTCTCCACTGTATATCTTTTTGTGTCTTTTAAATTTTGAATGTTTGCCTGTTTTGTCTATTGAATTAAGTACTTTTTAAAAGAACACAAGTACTAAATGATAGTACTTAGAGTTTTTTGTAAGTTCAGAGAAATCAAAAGAGACTTTGGACATTATCTAGCTTCTGAGAGCCAATAATTTTGGAGGCTTTGAATTCCATCTACCAGGATTTCTAGGCAAGCTTTTACTATGATGGCTTGAAGAAATTGGTATAAAAATTATCCAGGTGCTCACTGTATTGTTAAGCTGACTACAAACCAGAGGTTCACATGTCACAGTTCCGAGCTGCCAAAGAGCTTGAGAGCCACTTTTTTTCCATCAAAAGTAAGTGATGTAAGTTGTTCTAATTGCACATGACACGTTCTTTTGGGAAAACAGTTCCTTCTTTGTCCTCACCCAGAGATAACTAGTACATTTCTCTGAATTTGTGTTATAACAGGCCTATAAACTGTACCCCTCTCTATTTTTAATGATAGCTAATTGGGGTCATCCTTCCTGAAATAACTCTGAAAGACAAATTGCCTACCATGAGCTTTGTGGCAGGATTTTTACTAAATGGGTTATTTTGTTTTGATTGGCTCCTAAGCGTATGTCCCATATGTCCCCTAAGAATTATCATCACTTTTATAACTGCCATAATCCTTTAACTTGTGCATTTGAGCTGCGCTCTCAACAGGAAGGTTTTGAGCTCTGAGTGGTTTAGTTTTCTTTTGTTACTGCTTTGGTTCAGAGGTACGTACTGATGCTTGTTAGAGTGTGAGTGTATGTTTTAGGGGAGGAGATCTTAGTTGCCACTCTTGTTTTTTTTAAACATGAAAGTGTAAATTTACATATTTCAGTTTCACAGTAAGGTCATCTTAACATTCCTACTTTAGAATTTAAAATACTGCAGACTTGTCAGCATTAACTTCTATTTTACAGAGTCAACAGTATGGCAGTATTTTGATCTTTGTAATTCTGACCCTACAAAATCTGTTTCATGACTAATTTATATGGAAATATTTTATGAATATTCTTTCAGTATTTAATTCTTTCATCTTATACTAGCTGTAATTCAAATTACTTCCAAACCAGCTGTGGCCTAATATTTTCATGAAGTGACTTAGAAGGTCAATGAAAATTTCTTTATGCATATCCTTGGTTAAGCCTGAAGTCTCTTCTGGCATTGAGTTCTTGACCCAGCCCAGTAGAGAGACTTGGTGCTCTGAAACACTAGGATATCTAAAGCTTGAATTCCTTCTTGCATGTTTATTATGTATGTATTTGTCATACATACCGTAATTTGATTTTGGTTCCCTGAGACCAGATCCTGTCCTTTTAGTCTTAGAACACCATACTGCAACTCTGAGTAGTAGTACTAGAATGTAAGTAACTGGGGAATTTTCCGCAGTATTTATAGAAATAGAATATGTCAACATATGATCAGTAGTATATTCTGAAGATGCACGTTTTATTTAAAAATAGACTCACTATCTTTTAGGGAGCTAAGTATGAATAAACAGAATAAGGTCAGAATTTACTGTGCTAATAGAAGAGAAACATGATTTGTATGTCTTCTCCTTTGTAATTTAGTTCCAAAAATACAGAGTCCATGAAATGGGGAGAAAACAGGCTGGGTTTGAAACTTGGTTCTCACCAGCTTCATGACTTTGCAAGTTCAAGCATCAGTTCTTTTCTTTGTGTCCCCTCCCTACTGATGCCTTGCAGTGACCCTTCCTCACTTCCAGTCATCTCCCTTAACCAGACAGACAAGTTATGGTGTCACGTAAACAGAGTCGTCGTTTCCACAAGTCCTTCTCTGTGAGATAGAAACATAAATATATAAATAAGTGAAATTCGGTGAATGTCATTCAATTTGTAATCAGCAAATATCGTTAGCGTACTTAAGAGTTGTGTTACAACTTTTTCAGTACTTTGGGTAAGACTTTCTTATAATTAAGACGTATAAATTTAGAAAAGGAGAATTACATATTATACCTATATGTAGCAAGTAAGGAGGGGCCATTTGATTTTTTGTGTTTGAAAACTGATAGACAAAATGCATAAAATCTTTTTCTTCTTCCCGATCCTTATAATATTTCAGTTTTTATTTGGTTTCTTCTCTCACATTCAAGAAAAACTGATTTTTTTTTTTTTTTTGAGGAAGATCAGCCCTGAGCTAACTGCTGCCAATCCTCCTCTTTTTTTGCTGAGAAAGACTGGCCCTGAGCTAACATCCATGCCCATCTTCCTCTACTTTATATGTGGGACGCCTACCACAGCATGGTGTGCCAAGCAGTGCCGTGTCCGCACCTGGGATCCGAACTGGTGAACCCCAGGCCGCCAAAGTAGAACGTGCGCACTTAACTGCTGTGCCACCAGGCTGGCCCCTGATTATTTTGTATGCTGTGGAAATTTAATCTGGTTTTCTTAGATAACATTCCATTTCCTATCCTCTTGAGTTAGACCCAAGGATATTTTGACTATTATATGACTTAATCTTCTCCTACAAGCATTTTTTGCACAGTATGGCTACCACGAAACAGTAATATAGGCCTGCAACCAGGTTAATTCTAGAAGACATATTCAATTCAATATCTGAGATATCTAAATGTAACTGGGACCAGTTCTTTTGTTCTGTTTTAAATTTAGATGTCATAATTGCAAAGCTACTTAAACTTGGAAAAAATAATTATGCATTTTTGTCTTTCTTCTTTTTTAAAAATATGAAACAAACCACATTTATGGCAATGTGTAAATAATGCTCTAAAATCATTTCGTCATGTCACTGTGCCTGTTCAAAAATTAAAACAGAGCAAACTACTCAATAAATGTTGATCATATCCGGGATACATCAAGGAACCTGTGAACATCCATTACCAAGGTGTTTTCAGCCTACCCTGCCTTATATATCTGTTTATTTTGGAGGACTTGTCATAGTGTCACTAATGCCTTGTGTAGATTTGAGGGGGTGGGCCTTTCTTCTGACTACTAAAGTTTTGGTTATCTCCTAGGTCCTATCAGCAGTATCCTGGTGAATAAATATGGCAGTCGTCCAATCATGATTCTTGGCGGCTGCTTGTCAGGCAGTGGCCTGATTGCGGCTTCTTTCTGTAACACTGTGCAGGAACTTTACTTGTGTATCGGTGTCATTGGAGGTGAGTTACTGTTGATGCATTTTCAAGCGTTAATTTATTGATGGCTATTTGCTATTCCCTGGCATTCATCTTTCAGATCTTTTGAGTAAAAATTCCTTCCTTATAGAAATTACTTGATTATCATTTTGAAAAACTGGCAATACATTAAGAGTACTAGAAAAGCAAACTTTTAAAGATTTTATTTTTCCTTTTTCTCCCCAAAGCCCTGCAGTACATAGTTGTATATTCTAGGTGTGGGTCCTTCTAGTTGTGGCATGTGGGATGCCGCCTCAGCATGGCTTGATGAGCGGTGCCATGTCTGCACCCAGGATCTGAACTGGTGAAACCCTGGGCTGCCGAAGCAGAGCACGTGAACGTAACCACTCAGCCATGAGGCCGGCCCCTAGAAAAGCACACTTTTAAAGAAATTGCTGTCATAGAGTAGGTGTTTGTTGCTTGTTAAATGAATGAATGAATTGGAAGAGATGATTGAATCCTTTGTCCTAAGAATAGTCAGTGGTGGTAGATAAAATGTGTATGGCAACTTGTTGCAAGGGTGGTCATTGTTTATTATTCTCTCTCATTACCTCTTCCTCCCACAGGGAGTAGGCTTCTATCGGAGCAGGAGAGAGTGTTAAACAGAAAGCAGGAATTATCTGGTAGGATGTCTAGATACATTACTGAGGCATAGAGGATTCACTTGGTAATCCCCCCTCCCCTTTTTTCAATAGCCAAATTAGAGTAATGAACTCCTGATGGATATAACAAGTAAAGATTACTCAGAATTCACAATTCAGGTACTATCACTATTAACATCTTGATGCATATCCTTCCAAACTTTTGTCTATGCACAAGCATATAACCTTTTTTTAGAACAAAAAAGGATCAGATTATGTATAATGTTTTGTAACTAGTTTCTTCACCTAACAATATATCATGAACATCTTTCCATGTCATTAAATATTCTGGTGGATAACATTTTTTAAATCTCTGTTATTCCATTGAACACACGTATACTATAATTTTATTTGACCTGTCTTAGTTAATTGTTGAATATTTAGGGCTTTTTTTTTTTTTTACATTTTTTTAGTATTGAGAAACTGTATTGCATTGTAGTCCTTTGTGAACGTGAATATTTTCTTAGGATAAATTTGTAAAAGTGGAACTGCTATGTTTTTAAATATATATATAAACTAAATTTCCCTCCAGAAAGGTTATACTCATTTATAGTTCCACCACAATATATGAGAGAGGATACCCTTGACAACAATGGGATAGTATATTTTCTAATCATTGTCAGTTTAACAGATGAAGAGTATCTCCTGGTTTTAATTTCCTCTCTTTGATTATTAGGAAAGTAAATATATATGTTTGTGGCTATGTATTTTTTTGTTTTTGTTTTTGTTTTTGTTTTACAAAATGCTTATTGACTACTTTGGTGTATTCATTTTCTTATTTAAGAATAACATGTAATAACTTTACATGTTAAATTATTCTTTTGCATAAGACACAGTTAATTTTCCAAATTCGTTTTTTCATATTTAATTGTGGTAAAATACACATAACGTAAAATTTACCCTCTTAAACATTTTGATTTATTGATTGATTTATTTTTGAGAAAGATTACCTCTGAGCTAACTGCTGCCAATCCTCCTCTTTTTGCTGAGGAAGACTGGCCCTAAGCTAACATCTGTACTCATCTTCCTCTACTTTCTGTGTGGAACACCTACCACAGCATGGCTTGCCACGCAGTGCCATGTCTGCACCCAGGATCCGAACTGGCGAACCCTGGGCCACCAAAGCAGAACGTGTGTGCTTAACCGCTGGGCCACCGGACTGGCCCCTGTTAAACATTTTTAAGTGTTCACTTCAGTGGTATTAAGTATACTCACAGTGTTGTGCAACCATCACCACCATCCATCTCCAGAACTCTTTTCATCTGGCAAAACTGAAACTCTATACCCATTAAACAGTAATTCCCCATCCTCCCATCCCCCTGGAGAACCTGGCCAACTACCATTATACTTTCTGTCTCTATGAATTTGACAACTCTAAATCCCTCATATAAGTGGAATCATACAGTTTTTTGTCTTTTCGTGACTGGCTAATTAACTCAGTGTGATGTCCTCAAGGTTCATCCATGTTATAGCATATATCAAAATGTCCTTCCTTTTTAGGGCTGAATAATATTCCATTGTATGTATATATCGCATGTTATTTATCCATTCATCTGCTGATGGATGCTTGAATTGCCTCTGTCTTTTAGATATTATGAATGATGCTGCTGTGAACATAGGTGTACAAATATCTATTCCCGATAATTTTTTGCTATTGAATTTTGTTTGAAAAAAAGTGAATTTAGTCTTTTTCTACTTTTTTCCCCTCATTAAATGTCTATAATTTTCAGGTATTCAAAACTCTTGTATGATTTCTGTCTAGTGTGTTATTCTTAGTTCTCCTCTCCAAGATTATGAAAATATTTACCTACTTTCTTAAATACCCCCCTTTTTTACATTTAAAACTTCTGGATGGATGACAATATTTGACATAAAATGAGAAGAAAGAAATATAACTGTTCCCACATGGTTAGTTGTTCATTTGCTCTTTTATTCATTCATCAAATATTTATTGAGCAACAACCATATCTATGTTGGATGCTGTGGGGATAGAGCAGCAAGTCAGGCAAAGTCATGTTCTTTAATGGGAGGAGGCAGACAGTACTACTCACAAATATATGAATAAATAAGGAAAGTATCAAGTAGTGATAAATGCTATACAAAGCCTCAAAACAAAGTGTTCTGACAGGGAAGGACTGGATAGTCAAGGCAGGTGAGGGCTCGTTGAAGAGATGGCTTTAATAGAGATCTGAGTAACAGCAGAGAAGTAGCTTTGTGAAAATCTAGGGGAACAGACCCTAAGTCAGCAGCATGCTTATTAGCGCAGATGGGAATGGTCTGGTATGAGATCAGGGAGGGAGGTAAGGGGAAAGGTATGGATAGGAAGCCATTAGCAGGTTTGGAATAGGGGAGTGAGCTACTCTGGTTTATTGGTTTAAGCCTCTCTGAATAACTGAAACATAAATAGTAGGGAGCAAGAGGCCTCCAGAGGAGAACATCTGGAAGTTATTGGACTATTTACTTATACTAGCACTATTTATCAAATAATTCTTTCAGCAGTAATTTGAAATGTCACTTTTATCTTACATTAAGTGTTTATGTATGTTTCAGGTCTGTTCCTGGACATTCTGTCTACTTTCATCCATCAGTATTTACCTATTGCTCAGTCAGAGCCACACTGTTCTAATGACTGTACCTTCCATTTAAGTATCTGTTGTAGTTAGTCCCACTCTTCCCCCTGCACCACCAAAAATTTCCTGGTTGACCCCCATGTATTTGTTCACTAAGTATGTTTTAGAGTCATTTTACTTCATCTCCAAAACGAAATCCACTGACATTTTCATTGGAATCACATTAAATTAGTGCATTCATTTGGAGAGTATTGACGTCCTGACAATGTTGTGTTTTATTATCCAAAAACTTTGTGTGGGTGTCCTTTTTAATTCACCAACGCTTCAGGAAAGTAACACAGTTGTAGGTATGTAAATTATACATTTTTTGGGTTTTGGTACTGTTGTAAAAGGAATAAATTGTATTGCATTTTCTGTTGTAAAAGTCTTTTCTATTAGATAACTGTCTACTCCATGATCTTCTATGGTTTTAATCCTTCAGGTAATTTTGGTAAATTTGACTAATACACAGTTATTTGTTCAAATAATATAAACAAAAATAATAAAAATAACTAACATTTATTGACTGCTTACTACATGCCAGGCACCTGTTCTAAGTGCTTTACTCACAACAGTGCTACGCGCCTGTTTTCCACATTAGGAAATAGTCACAGGAGGGTCAACGTGTCTGACATCACTACACAGCCAATAAGTGGTGATGCTGAGATTTGAACCCACGTAGTCTGGTTTTAGAGTCCACGCTTTAAACCGCCACTCAATCTAATAACGAAGATTTTGTCTCCTTTCCATTATTTATACCTCCTATTTTAATTTCTTTGTCTGGTTAAGTAATTCCTTTTCTATTTCTGATTTTTATTACAGTATGTGATTATTTTTTCCTCTCCACCCCAGGTCTTGGGCTTGCCTTCAACTTGAATCCGGCTCTGACCATGATTGGCAAGTATTTCTACAAGAGGCGACCCTTGGCAAATGGACTAGCCATGGCAGGCAGCCCTGTGTTCCTGTCTACCCTGGCCCCCCTCAATCAGGCTTTCTTCGGTATCTTTGGCTGGAGAGGAAGCTTCCTAATTCTTGGGGGCTTCCTATTAAACTGCTGTGTGGCTGGAGCCCTGATGCGGCCAATAGGGCCCAAGCCAACCAATGCAAAGAAAGAGAGGTCTAAAGAATCCCTTCAGGAAGCCGGAAAACCTGATGCACAAAAAGGGGCAGGTGATGCAAATACAGATCTTATTGGAGGATACCCCAAGGAGGAGAAACAGTCAGTCTTCCAAACAATTAATAAATTCCTGGACTTATCCCTGTTCACACACAGAGGCTTCTTGCTATACCTCTCTGGAAATGTGCTCATGTTTTTTGGACTATTTACTCCTTTAGTCTTTCTTAGTAATTATGGCAAGAGTCAGCATTACTCTAGTGAGAAGTCCGCCTTCCTTCTTTCCATTCTGGCTTTTGTCGACATGGTAGCCAGACCTTCTATGGGACTTGTAGCCAACACAAAGTGGATAAGACCTCGAGTTCAGTATTTCTTTGCTGCTTCTATCGTTGCAAATGGAGTGTGTCATCTGCTAGCACCTTTATCCTCCAGCTATATTGGGTTCTGTGTCTATGCGGGATTCTTTGGATTTGCATTTGGGTGGCTCAGCTCCGTATTGTTTGAAACACTGATGGACCTTGTTGGACCTCAGAGGTTCTCCAGCGCTGTGGGATTGGTGACCATTGTGGAATGCTGTCCTGTCCTGCTGGGGCCACCACTTTTAGGTACAGTATGTCTTCCTACTTCTGAGGTTCTGTTAGCATGAAACACGCATAGAAGATTGGGAAGGTGATAGAAGGCAGAGATCAGTGAGCCGCTTGATGGCGGAGAGCAAGTCTTTCTCATTTCTGTACCCTTAATGCTGGCACAATGCTTGGCACAGCTTAATTGCTCAAATACTTATGGAATTGAATTAAAATGAAGCTGAAAGGAGAATCAAAAATTGTTACAAACTTAAGTATTTATTAAAATAATTTTTTCTGGAGCTGGCCTGGCCGAGTGGTTAAGTTTGGGTGCTCTGCTGCAGCAGCCCAGGGTTTTGCTGGTTGGGATCCTGGGTGTAGACGTGGCACCGCTCATCAGGCCATGTTGAGGCAGCGTCCCACAGAGCACAACCAGAAGGACCCACAACTAGAACCTACAACTATGTACTGGGGGCTTTGGAAAGAAGAAGAAAAAAATAGAAGAAGATTGGCAACAGATGTGTTAGCTCACGTGCCAATCTTTAAAAAAATAATTTTTTCTGATCATAAAACTAACATGTTCATTGTTGAAAAATGTATAATATACACTCCACCTTTAAAATACTGTTGGTGATTTCCCTTTAATTGTGCAATTTATCTCAGTAGTAATATATAAAATACTAACAGTAGCTGCCAGGTGAGGGCTCAGGTGTACCAGGGACTGTCCTAGTCGTTTTACGCATCCTGCCATAGCTCCCGAGTCTGAGGGAGCACTGTTAGTGTCCCCGTTTTGTAAATGAAGAAGTAGAGCCTTCTAAAAGTGAAATAACTTGCCCAAGATCATACTGCTAGTAAGTGGCCATAAAACTTGGTGGATTATTCTCTAAGAATACCAGATTGTTTACTCTTTTAAATTATTATTAATACAAATTACGATAATCGTTTGGATTTCCTCTGGATATGACTCGTGCTTTTGAGATTGTGCATGATAAGGGAAGGAAGGATACAGAAAGAAGATCCACCACCGACTTTTCCACACTCCCCCACCCTGTCTCCTCCCTCTTCCCAGTGAGATTCCACTCCTGTCAGTTTTCACCTCCTAAACCTCTTGCTAATCTGCCCGTTTTCTCCGTCACAACAGCTCCTACCTCCTACCTGGGCTGCTGCTCACAGTAGCCTTCTGACTGGTTTACCCAGACCCACTCTCGCTCTTCTTCAGTCTCCTAGGACTCTCCAGTTCAGAACTCTTAGAATGTTTTTAGAACTCTCCAGTTGGTTCCATTGTTCTCAAGGTGAAGATCAGATTCCCTAATGTGGTCTCCAGGGCCCCGCGTGGCCTGGCCCACCTCTCTCCTGCCTCACTTCCCACCACTCGCCTTTTGCTCTCTCTGCTCCCACACCCGGCCCTTCTTCCTTCCCGCTCACGCCCTGTGCTTCCTCCTACCACCTGCCTTTACAGTTGCTCTTCTCTGCCTGGATTCTTTCCCCACCCCCTTTCTCCTGGACAGCTGTCCTCCTGGAAGTCTCAGCTTAGTGTACACTTTAAGAGAAGCCTTCCTGACCCTCCCTGCTGCTCCCAACCCCCTGTTTTGTTTTCAGACCCTCCTTGTAGCCTTTGTCAGGGTTTGTGTAAGTATTTGATTAACATTTCTCTTCTCCACTGAACTGTGGCTGTTATCTCCTTTGCTTGCCCTTATCCTAGCAGAGCCAGTGATGGTGTTTGTAGGGCTCAATAAATATAGCTGAGTGACTGGTGCCCTGAGTTAGAAAACCATATGGAATCATGTTTGAATTGCTTATATTAAGCCCTTCATAGATGTAGAGTTTTCCAGAGTTTTTATTCCTTGAGATACCAATTTGATGAGATGCTAATAAATTTTACTATAACAAGGATTTTATGGCCAAAAAAGTTTGGAAACATTAAGTTAAATAGGTTTCTTTACTGTAGGACCTCGCCAAACCTTTAATATGCTAATATGCATTGTGACTCTTTTATAGAAAAGACTAAGATATGCCATTTCCTGAATTTATTTGACTTTGGAAACATTGGGGAGGAATCTTTGTTGCATAGTGGTGAAGGTTACAGGCTGTGGAGTCAGACTTTCTGGGTTTAGAGCTAACCTATTTCAGTTACTAGCTTTATTGTGTCTCTGTTTCATTTTTTTTTCATCTGTACAGCGAGGATGATAATAGAATCTCCTGTTTTGAGGATCAAGTGCTTAAAATGGTGGTTGATGTCAGTTAATTTTTTAGCATAGTAGGAGTGTTCACATGAATGCTTTTTGGGAAATGCTGATGTCAGAGAAAGAGCTTTGGTCTGGGAACCTGGAATAGCTCTGCTGCCTTGGGCAAGACTCCTAAACCTCTTGGAGCAACAAATTTTTCCATTGTGTATTGGGAATTGATTCTGGGTGATTTCTAGCTCTTTCCCAACTCAAATTTGCCAAGATTTAATTATTTTCAAGCTGCTGAAAGTAACAGAATATGCAAGGCCATCCAAAATCATTGTGACATCATAAACAAAAAATCAGATCATTTTTAGCAATACTTTAGACTAATTTGTCATTTGTGGGCTCTTTGAGGATTGGGTTGACAGCTTCTTTCTGAGTGGATCCTTCAGCTTTGTTTGGGAAAGGAGATAGTTGTTTGCTTTTACCCAAATAACTTTTTTTAAAAAATTCCTTAGGTCGTCTCAATGACATATATGGAGACTACAAATACACATACTGGGCGTGTGGCATAATCCTAATCGTTGCGGGCATCTATCTCTTCATTGGCATGGGCATCAATTATCATCTTCTGGCAAAAGAACAGAAAGCAGAGAAGAAGCAGAGAAAGGAAAGTAAAGAGGTTGAGACCGGTGTGGATGTTGCTGAGAAACCAAAGGAAGTTACCAATGCAGCAGGATCTCCAGAGCAGAAAGGCACAGAAGGAGACCCCAAAGAGGAGAGTCCACTCTGAACCCATGGGGCTGAAGGGTAAATGGAGCAACTTGTGACCCAAGATATCGGAAAATGTTCTGCTGGCCTGTAATCTACCAGTGGTGCTCAATGCAAATAGCGGACATTCATATGGAAATCATACCAGGTGTTAGTTGATGGAATTTTTGTTTCACTCCTTACCAGTAGCCTGAATTAAAAATGCCATATCTTTTGGGGGAGGGAGTGGTTGGCAAAGAATGAGGGAAGAACGTCTTTTTTTTTTTTTTTTTTAATTTTAGCTTTTAACAGTTACATAAAGATTATAGTATGTGCCTTAAGTTTTAGTCTTTAGAACTCTTTAGGGAGCCTTAACTTTTTAAACCATTTTGCTGAATTCATCTATTTTAAGTGTCACATTAAAAGAAAAAGTAACTAACTTGTTTGAAGCAAATCTAAAATTTTAAATTATTCTTGCTTCATTGTAATGTGTAATATATTGTCAGACATTGTCACTGGAAGATTTATGAATAGAAATATTGGTTGGAAGTTGGGGGTTTTGTAAAATTCTGACTAAAATATTTTGCTAGCATCAGTAGTTGCCTGGCATGTGTGCCTGCTAGCTATCTATATATTTAGGAAATTTAAAGCATAAAACTTGGGAAACATCTTGGCTGTTCTAGACACGTACTCATAAACACCCCTCTAGTATCTTTTCTTGGGATGCTTACTAGAAGCCTAGTGCTTGAGAGTTGATTTCATTAAATTATATTTTTGCTCCCCTTTTCAGAGACCTATTTTGAGTGGTTATAGATCATTGCCCTTTTGAGATCACTTAGTATGATTTTTTTCACTGTAAAAATTAGTATTAAAACATAGAAAACTATATATTTTTGCCTCCTTAGTAAGTACAACATATCTAATTAAATGTAGACAGATATTTCAAACAGCCGCTGCATTCAGCTTAGGTTTTTCCAAAACCTCAGTTGAACTGTGAGACTTGGAATCTTTTTGTTTTTCTTGGAATTTTCTCCCTTTGATCCATAGTGGTTCCGTTTATATCTGCATCTAGCTTAGAGCTGGGTGTAAGATAGTCAGTCTTTGTATGTTTACGGTTTTTTACCCCCCAATGTTTGCTAATTAAAGAGAGCCAGAGAAATTTGGCCCCAGGCAAACCAATAAAGGATAAGATTGGCAGGGAAGTTGCTAAGTGTACTTAGTTTCAATTCATAATTCCTTTTCTTTTTTCTGAGAAGGCCTTAAAGAAAATTAGGCTTTGCTTAGAATTATTGTTCACATTCTTACTCTTGACACAAATATAAAGATTTGTGATCCTTTCACTTACCTGAAAAGTAGAGAAATGGGTTTATTTTAAGGATAGAGGGAGGACAGACCAGAATGAAACTGTATTTCTTAGCCTAATATCTTTTAAGTTGAGGCAGGAAGATAATGATAGACATTCAATGAACTATATTCAATGCATTCTAAAGTAGCATTGTAATTGACAGAGTGAAGGTATAGAAACCTTGTGTAAGAAGCTGGCTTTTCCAAATAAACTTTTTTTTTTTAAGAACTGTTTCTTCTTTCAAATGTTTCTATGTCTTCATTTTCTTTATCAAGATTCAATTTGGTCTTTGGTAATATTAAATTATCATTCAGCTTATGTGCTTTGGGATTTGTCTATATGGCTTATTTTATTTTGGTTTTTCTCTTTTCCTCTTCTTTAAGACAAGCAGGATGGGAATTTTGAAACCACCTCTCTGAAAGCAACCAGAGCAGTTAATCTTAAGGACACAAGGAAAACTCCCTTTCTGTGCCCGAGTGTCATGGCAGATGGATGTGTCTCTTTCCCCTTCTATAAAAATGAGGATTACCATTGCTGAGGTAATATGAATAAAGGAAATGTGCAAAAAAAATTTTTTTAAGTAAAGCAGGTATATAGGGTTATTTTCCCCAATCCCAGTTGTTGAGCTACATCCACACATAAGGCCCTGCCTAGTCTTTGTTCAATAGTTGAATCTTGTTAGTGGAGCGAGGGGTTTGTGGTGCGGATTCATCACCACTTATGATAAGGAAGGGTTCTGAAGCTGCTGTATTTCAGAAGCGAGGGTTAAAAATTGACTCAGAGCTGAAACTAAACCTTTTATCACCCAGTCTAGCCCTGACTTTTTTTTCCCCACTGAAGATACACGCTGAAGGGATTTATTCAAGATTAATTTTGGTAAGAAAGCCAACACTAAAACCCAGTATAGGCTTACTCTGTGCCATCTCTTCCTTCTTATAGATCAGCTAATCCAGTGTGGCAGTTGTGTTCAACACTGGAAGCAGCTGGGCTTTCTGATCCAGTTTGTTGTCCCATACTCCATGTGAGAACTGAACTTGTTTCAGTTCACACAGTGTCAGTGGCTGCTTTGGGAAAATAGGTTGTATTATCACCTTATATTCAAGTCTATTGAGAACTTAACTAGCCAAGATAAGTGAGTAATTTCTACAAAAAGTATTCAGGAAAGGATGATGGTAAAACAAATTTTGGAAATTCAGAGAGGTATTTTATCCCTGATTTAATCACATTGATGATAATCCTCTGGATTCTTGGGTTGTCTGAATTTAGTAGTTTGTTTGTACCGTAGATATATGTGTCAATCCTGTATTTTAAAAGAAAAAAATTGTTGAAAGCTATTTAATATTTTTGTATGAACCAATGTTTTATTGTATTGAATTTCAGATTGATAAAATGGGTATTGGTTTGTATGAAAAACCTAGATGTCTGGGTTTTACCTTCCCTGGCAAATGGTTCACAGTATAAACTTAATAATCAAGTGTGCCCCGTGACAGACACACACGCGCACACACACACACACTTTTGCTTGAAAAGATGAGGAAAGGTTAACAGTAAATTTCCACCTTTGCAACATGGCATATTTTAATAATCAGGTCAGGCGCTTGCCTAGAAGACATGAAGGAAGAGGTTAGTAATAGACTGTGTCACTATGAAAACTCTCAGTGCTTGTCAGGAAGTGACAGCCCAAGCATGCCTGCTTGCCCAAATGTGAACAATTAAGCCAAGTTGCTTCAGAGTTTAGAAGCATCCAAGGGAATAACAAGTGTATCACTCCTGAAATGTGTCCTAGATTTAGAGTTTTAGATTCAAGCGCCCTTCCCTCCATTCCATCCGGGCCATAGTGGCAAAATCACTCATGTGAAGTGATGCGTAGAGTATCTTTCTCCTCAGCCAAACAGCATTGATTTACTCTTGCTGACTTTTACCCTGACCTGCCTAGAGGAGACTAGAATAGCTCAGCAGAGGTGTCAGCCTGCTGCTTGCTTAACAATATACAGTAGTCCCCTGTTATCTGCAGTTTTGCTTTCCACAGTTTGTTAGCCGAGGTCATCCGTAGTCCAAAAATATTAAATGGAAAATTCCAGAAATAAGCAATTCATAAGTTTTCTATTGCATGCCATTCTGAGTAGCGTGATGAAATCTCGCTCCATCCCACGATGATGTGAATCACCCCTTTGTCCAGCATATCCCCACTGTATACATACCTGCTTGGTCACTTAGTAGGCCTCTCGGTTGTCAGATCTACTGTCAAGAGTATCGCAGTGCTGGTGTTCAGGTAACTCTTATTTTACTTAATGGCCCCAAAGTGCACAAGTAGTGATGCTGGCAATCTGGATATGCTCAGAAGTTGCTGTTAATCTCTTACTGTGCCTAATTTATAAAGTAAACTTTATCAGAAATATGTATATGTATGAAAAAACATAGTATATGTAGGGTTCAGTACTGTCTGTGGTTTCAGGCTTCCACTGGGGGTCTTGGAACATATCCCCCTGCAGGTAAGGGGGTTCTACTGTAGGCTGCCTGGGTTCAAATTGAGGCGGTGTGACCTCAAACAAGTTACTTAGCCTCCCTAAGTAAACAGTTTTTTCTTCTGTGAGGTGTTAATAATTAGTACTAATGCCCCTATGATTGTCATGAAGGTTAGTTGATATGTGACAGCTTGTGTTAAGCAAGTGCTTAATAAACGTAAGCATCTGACTATAAGAAAAAAGTCAAGGAAAATTAATACTTGGGAAAAAATTGAGCTCTTCTAATTCCCAAGGTAGATCCATACTTGCAGAGGATAGTTTGGGAGTGACTTTTAAAGATTAAGAATGTCAGCTAAATGATCAAATTCTTCCTTTTGATCAGATCCTCCTTTTTGTCGTAAAAATGTCATGATCTTTTTTTGGTAAATGAATGGATGAAAGTAACAATTCAAAAGGTTGGTGCATGTATGTCCAGCTCTTTGAGTAAGATGGACTTGAACCCCTGAGCCTTTGTTCGTTCTACTCACAGCACGCTGCCTCTGTGGGGAAGAGATCCTGACGAGTAGCAGATCAGCTTCCCCTTGGATACCTGTGATGATTCTCAAAGAAGAAATGTAGCTAGGAACCAATCATGATTAAAACTTTCCTGTCCCTAGCAATGTTCTTGAATGCAAACTGAAAGATTGGCGAGGTTTTTATTTTTCCCCTACTACATTGATGACATTTAAATTATAAATTACCATCAGTTGGTGGCTGAATAAATAGGTGTGACATATTGGCAAAGCAACTTCATAATACGTGTCAGGTGCCATGAGTTCACATCTTCTTAAGAATTCCAGATTTGGAATTTATATAAGAAAGTTATGTCTGTCTTTGAAATTACCAATTTCTTTGAAAAAATCTTAAAATGTATCAATAACTATTTAAATGGTTATGAAGTCCTTATGCTATAAACATGGCATTATGTTAAATGAAAAAGCAAGACAGAAACTACCATGATATATGTCTCTGTGTGTGTGTATGTGTATATGCATAATATTTATATACACGTGCATGGGGGGGAAAGCACACACAAATATGATGATCACTTTGTGAGCATGGTAAAACTAAAGGTGACCTTTTTTCTATAGTTTTTCCATATTCTAAGTTTTCTTAATGTGATACTTTCTTTTATACTAAATGAAAATGTTTAATGGAGCGTCTACTACAGGTTTACAGAGTAGCATGTAACAGTATTTTTGAAAAAACAGTATATTTTATCTAGAATTGTTCTGGCAGGAGACATGAGACTCCTAAGAAAATGAAGCTGATGATTATTACAAGCAGGTTATTTTTTCTGCTTCAAGAGTTGCATCCTGGTGAAAGGGAGGTGAATACGACATGGAAGTCAAGAGCACAGTGGTCTCAAGTCATGATTTTGCTGGTGCTGGCCCAAAGCTGTGGAGCGTAGAGTCCACGGGCTGCCTGTGCCAGCCTGTGCCTCCTTCCTGGACACAGTGCTCTGGGGGCCAGCATGCCTTGTGGTTCTCCTCCTGATCATCATTCAGCTGCAAGTGAATGTTAAACTCAGGAAACCAGAGCATTCAGTATTTACCAGGCCTAAAAAGAACAAAAAGTATATTTTTGAACAAGTTAATTTTTCTGAGCGTCTTTGGTAAATTAAACATAAAATTATTATGAAGACTAAGTGTGAAAGTACACAGCATACTGCTGTATGCAAAGTAGTATTGATCACATAGTAGTTTTAAAAATTAATTCTGAGTCTGCTTGAATATTGCGCAGTGCAGTATAGCAAGTGTCAGTTAAGTCGTCAACCGGAACAACAAAGGATAAAGAAGAGCTAGTAATAGTTGGATAGCCCATCAGAGTTTACAAAGGCCTTTCAAGTATATTCTACCACCTGATTCATGCAAAATCCTAGGGAGGTGGGTGTAATGAAATACCCTTTAGCTGGGCCTTCCTCCTAGCCAGGCATCTCCTCTTCTGTGAGAAGAGCACAGAGCAAGATGGTAGACAGCTCAGTGGCTAGAGCTGAGGGTTGTACTGGGTGGAAGTCTGGAAATACAAGGATGGAAGAGGCCGAATCCTGGGTAATCTTGAAGGGTGAATAGTGACCAAGCCAGTCACTCGGGTCCTGCACCAAAATGAGTAAAATGGTCCTGTCCCCAACAATCTAACAATCCTCCTTGGCTTTGGAATTCATAATGTGATTTCTTCACTTGTGGATTTCCTTTCCTAATATGCTTTACTGATTCCAGAATTAAAAGTTTGCATTTCCTGAGCTTACTCTGGCCAGGTCCCAAGAGGAAGTGGCCACCAGCCATTAAGAAGCCAGGAGAGAAACTGGGCTGGGATTAAAAATCACCTGGTGTGCTGACAATCTGTATGCCCGTAATTATCAGGAGAAGGTTTATAATGGTTGTCAGTGATTTATCTTTCTTTCCCTTTCTCCTCATTGCTTCTGGATGCTTTTGTGCTGGGCCCTATTTATATATGCTTTTCAGAATGAGAGCTGTAGAGACTTTAACAACCCTTTTCCTTTCTTTGTTTTTTTTTCCTGCTTTTTCTCCCCAAAACCCCCAAGTAGAAGTTGTATATTTTAGTTGTGGGTCCTTCTAGCTGTGCTATGTGGGACACCGCCTCACCGTGGCCTAATGAGCAGTGCCATGTCCGCGCCCAGGATCCCAACTGGTGAAACCCTGGGCCGCTGCAGTGAAGCATGCCAACTTAACCACTTGGCCACCGGGCCGTCCCCTACCCTTTTCCTTTTAAATTCCGAGGACTATCTTGTTTCTCAAATGCTAAGAATGAGCAAGAACAGGCCTGCAGTTTGGGGTTTCCTGAGCTGGGCACTTTGGGTGCTCCTCAACTTGTACCTGCGCGCCAGCCGCTCCCACCTCTCCCCATTCCTACTGCGCAGACCTCCCCAGTTGCCCAAACGTGGAGATTAAACTGCTTTGCTGTTTCTCCCTTCCAGGCCGTCCTTTTTGTTTTCCCTGCCTTGGCCTTGGTTTCCAACAGCCTCCCTCCCTCTGTTCTCATCACTTCCAATCCAGCTTCAACACTGCTGCCAAAATGACTTTTCTAAAAAGGCCAAATTTCTCAGCTGCTTGTATTGCTTCAAATGAGAGCAATAAAGATAAAAATAATAAAACTCATCTAATCACTTCACTCGTCTGCTTAAAATCTTATATTTGAGGCTAAAGTCCAAACTCCTTAGCCTGACCCACAGGGCCCTTCTCCATCAGCTCCTTATGCTCCTTCAATCTTATCTCTTGCCAGTCCTCGGCCCACACCCTGCCCTCCAGTCCAGCTGAATTTCTTAGTCCTTCAGTGCACTGCCTTGTTTCAGACCTCCCTGCCTTCCTACTTGGTGCCTTGTGCCTGGAACCCCACCCTGCTTTCTCCTTTGCACCAACTCCTGTTCATGCTTTGAAACTTGGTTCACGTGTCCTGTTCCAGGAGGCCTCACCCGATTCCCCAGTTTTTAATTGTCCTTCTGTCTGGAGCGCAGTTACAGTATGAATCTTTGTGTCGAATCCCAGGTCTCTGGCTACAAATTCCAGATAGGCCACTTGCTAACTTGGATCCTTAGGCAAGTTACTGCACCTCTAGGCCTCAGTTTCTACATCTGCAGAAAGGGACTCCTTATAGAGCTTACCTGATAATGTTACCATGAAGATTAAATAAGGCAATGTCTACAAAACCCTTGGCATAGTACCTCACACAGAATAAATGTTCGGTTAGCATTAATTATCACTACCTCTGTCATAGTTCTTACCACTATTAAAGGGCAATTTTCAAAATGGTGAAATCATGATTCTCATACAGATATCAAATGAAGATATATTTATTAGCTCATTAATTAAGGAGGAAACCAGTAAGATTTTACAACTGTTTCAAATGAGAATTGGACTTACGGAGATTTATTCTCTACTAAACACAATTCACTTGCGTCACCATGGAACAGGAACACTTTGCGTCACACATCAGACAGGAAACATCCACACCATCGGCCTCCACAGGTTACCTTCTACCTCCGGGGAGGTGTAAGACAGCCCTACGAAGACAAGCCCGTGTGCAGATCCCCACAGAGTCAGATAGCCCAGCGGCCTAGATAGCTCGGCATTCCATGGAAGGAACACTCAGTACTCCTTTGCCCACTTTAAGGTCTTTCACAATTTTTCCTAGCACCACAGTGCACCGTACTCATTTGTTTGCTTTTCTAAATCCCTACCAGACTCTGAGCTTCTTGCGATGGGGAAACAACACAAAAAGTGAGAGATCCCTTTTGATTTATGGGCTCTGGAAGTTTCTGCAGGAGGGGACATGAGGTAGAGACAAGGGAGGCAACACTGCTCTTGGAGGAGGGCATCCAGAGAGAGCTGTGGGGCCACGGAAGAACCAGCTGGTGAGCATGTGGGAAACAGTGTGCCAGGCCCTGGGCGGGGCGAGGAAGATAAAAAGATGTATGAGGCCTGGTCTCTGTTTTCAAGAAGCTCTCAGACAGTTGGGGCAATAAAAGAAAATCAATGTTTAAAACACTGTAATGAGGGCCCTAAAAGTCCCGAAGTCGAACTTGAGGAACTCGAGTGAATTGAGGGCAGAGTGCTTCCCAAGCCCAGGTCTGATGAAGGGCCTAAGACAGAGGAGATGCCTGGAGCCTCTGGGCCGCCTCGGAGGAATGAAGGAGAGGACCTGTGTTCTACAGGCGCTGTCAGGCTCCCTCCCCTTCCCACCTGTGGGCTGGACTTGGTTGGCAGATGGTGGCAGTGAAGAATTAATGACCCAGTTCCCTCAAGTCTCTGGGAATAGAAGTCCTCACTAGAGGCAGGAGCAACCCTGCAGCATTCCCAGAGTCTCACGTAGGGAACTGGCACACACACAGTCTGCGAAGAAAATGGTGTTCACTTGCCGAAAGGCAATATGTTGGAAAGGGGGACCAGTCAACAAGGAAACTCAGGAAGCTATGCCCTCCCCTGGAAGGTAAGCTCTGTGAGGGAGAGATTGTGATAGCACTCATTGGGTGAATATATAAATGAATGAGTGAATGAACGGAAACTCGAGAAGGAGGATGTGTCCAGGGAGAGGCGACTGGCCCACTGGCTGCGCTGCTTGGTGCCCTCAGCTGTAGTCAGCCAAAGACTGGTGTCCTTTAAATACCTGAAGCACTTTTCTCCTCACTAGACAACCCTTGGCCTCCCCTATATTTAGCTGCCTAATGGGAAAGAACATGCTCAGCATGCTGGCAGGAACGTCCAATCTGAGCGCCTGCCATACTCTCCCTATGAAGTCTGGTACATGCGTGAGCTCAGATGCGTGTCAGGCTCCCAGGCTCCATTCAACCCTGACATATTGACAAGACCAAACCACTGTAAGTTCACCAAGCTGGTGCCACCCAAGTTGGCCTCCTGGCTCATGGGCCTGGTGACACCTCCACCTCACCATCACCTCTTTTTGACTTTGCACCCATCACTGAAGTGTTTCTCCAAACCCTGCTGATCTGCTCTACCATGGGAGGTGACTGACGTGGTACCCAGACGGCTTGGCTCTCTCAGCAGCCTCCCTGCCCCACACACGTCATCGGGGTCAGCCCCAGCCTCTGGGACAGTCCCCAGGAACCTGAGCTGCTTGTGCTTCCCGGGGAAGGACAGACACCTTGGGAACCTGCTCAGGCCCTGCCGTGGGAGTCGCCCAGCCCTCTGCCCGAAAGTTCGCTGAGCCTCCTCCCACACCTGGCAACATCAACACCTGTTCACGGAGGCAAGATGGCGGGGTGGGCTCTGGGCTCAGAAAGACCTGGCTCAGAGCCTGACTCTACCACTCACTGGTTGTGTGGCTCTGGGAAGGTCACTTCACTTCTCTGTGCCTCAGTTTCCTCATCTGTAAAATAAGGATAATAATAGTTGTATTGGCCAGAGTTCAGTGCAGGAAATAGGAACCACTGGAGGTATTTTGAGCACAAAGCAACTTGATACAGAGGATTGGGTGCTTATGGGATGGAGTGGCTGGATGTGGGGAGAGGAGAAGGTAAGGCTGGGTCTCTAAAGGATGTGCTCCTTTGGCCTGGGCAGAAAAGGAAGGTGGGCATCTGGAGGTTGCCACTGGTACTATGAGTCCTGGGGTACGCTGACAGGGCTGTGACCCAGGTAGCAGGCAGGGCCTCCAAGGCTGCCGCCAGGGCTGAGGACGCCACGCTGGACACGCTGCAGGAAAAAATGCACGTCTGTGTGAGCCTGCTCGCCAGAGGGAGCAGCCAAAGTAGCAGGAAGGTGGCCTCTGGCTCCCTCCCACCTTCCAAATCCCATGTGAGGGTCTGTGGTTGGATCAGGCACCCGCTGCTCTCGAAGGGCTGAGAAACGACGCAGCATTAGCTTTCTGCCTCCAAAGGACAGGAAATAGGTGGGAACGGATCCCAAGTGCTACTCAGCCCCCTGAGGATTACCTGTATCCGTGCCTGGAGGGCACTCACAGTCCTGGCACCCCGCACGTGTGCATGCACGTGGGCTCTGGGGAACGTTACAGTGGTCATCGCTACATGCCTGCCACGTGCCAGTGCCAGGCTAGGCCATGGGAGACACAACAGTGAACAAGAAAGGGCCCTCCCCTGAAGAAGTGCTTAGACGCCCGGGGGGGGGGGGGGGGGGGGGGGGGGGGGGGGGTGGAGCATGAACAAGAATCATAAAGGAGAGTGGTCAGTGCAAAAGTGAGTCATAAGAGCACAGAGAGGGGCCCCCTGGCCAGTCCAGGGGAGGGGAGGGAGGTCATTGCCAGTTTCCAGTATGGGTGGAGTCTAATCTGAGGCTTGAATGGAGAACTAGAAATTAACCAAATGGAGCAGGAGTAAACAAGGGGGTATGTGTGTGTGACAAGGCTGAGTTCCACCTTGAGGGAGCACATACACATAGAAAACCAGGAGGAGGGAGGGTGCTTGGCATTGTCCACGAGAGGACAGTTCAGTGTGACCAGTGCTTAGAGAGATGGGTGGGGGTGGTGGGTAAGAAATGAAGCTGGAGAGGAAAGCAGGGGCAGGGAGAGCCCCTGGGGACTTTACGCCTCAGTGTGAAGAATTTGAGCTTTACCCTGTGGGCAACGGGGAGCCACAGGAGCAGTTTAAGCAGAGGGAAGGATCATCACCATTCCAGTTTCAGAAATGTCACTTTGATGTGGTCTGTGCAATAGCCTGGAAGAAGGCAGGACTACGAGTGAAGATTCCAGCCATGGTGTTTCAGCAGTCCAGGCTGCAAATGATGGCTGCCTGGAGGAGGACACGGGAAGAGGCAGAGCTGAGTGAAGGGAGTTTAGGAGGAGGCAGAGTGAAGAGGAGGGGTGGGAGTGGGAGCAGGGAGGAACCCGGGGTGGCTGCCAGTTTCAACAGGAGGCACACCCAGAAGGGTGGAACTCTATCTACTCCTAGCACTTGTTCCGGGGTGGTGCCCACCCACAGGCTCCCTGCCGCCAACTGAGTTCACTAAAAGCCCCTTCCCTCCCATCAACCTTGTGGCCCACTGGTTGGCAGTGGCAACCCAGTTCCACCAACATTTACTAAGCAGCTGTTATGTGTCAGGAACCAGGGGGGCTTCTCCCTGCCTCACCTAGGGGAGTTTCAACCAGATGACTGAGAGGTTCCAGAGCAGGGAGGGGAGGCTGAGGGTCGGCAGAGAGAAGGGAAATGCTGTGGACACATAGCCTCCATTCAGGCCCTCTCTCTTCCCCCAGCACCGGAGGAACCTCACCCCTGACCTCTCACCCCCATGACAGGAAAGGTACAAGGGACATCTGCAGGGCCTTAGACAAAGCCCCTGGGCCCCCACCTCTACTGGAACAGGCAGCCACCCTGGTCTCTTTCCATTCTGCAAGTTCTGTGCTCCCTCTGCTGTGAGATCTAGGATGAAGGGGGAGAGCTGCCTGCATGCTGACCCACAGGACTTGCCACCTGCATCCAAGAGATTCACTCCATGGAATTGAGGCGTTTTCCCAGAGGCTCTCGTGCACAGGGAGACAGAACCCACCACTGCCTGGGGAATATAATTTCTTACCGGTTCACTATCGCAGGAGTGCAGGTGAATTATAGGATTGCTGTCCTCTGAGCCTAGAAGAGAGGCCTGCTTTATAGAAAGGTGAGAGGCCTGGAGCCGTCCTACGGGGGTCTGGGCACTGGAAGATGATAGTAACAGCATTTACTATTGATTGAGCACTTTACATTCCTAATTTCTAAGTCTTCATGATTCTGCAAGGTAATTATTGCTCCCTTCTTGCAAATGATAAAACTGAAGTTCAGTTAGGTTAAGTAATTTGCTCATTTAAAGTCACATGGCTACTAGGTGACTGAGCTGTAATTTTAACCAACCCAGGCTTGATACCAATGCCACCTTCTTTTTTTCTTTCTTTCTTTTTTTTGGTGAGGAAGATTAGCCCTGAGCTAAGATCCATTACCAATCTTCCTCTTTTTGCTTGAGGAAGATTGTCACTGAGCTAACACCTGTGCCAGTCTTCCTCTATTTTCTATGTGGGACACCACCACAGCATGGCTTGATGAGCAGTGTGTAGGTCCACACCCAGGATCCAAACCTGTGAACCCTGGGCTGCTGAAGCAGAGTGGCCGAATTTAACCACTACACCACCGGGCCATATGCCACCTTCTTGATGACTACATGGTCACTTAGCCTTGCTCCCTGGACACCCTGCTCCCTGCCAGCTCCTACTCCTGGAGAAGTCACTTCCCAGAAGGATGCTGTTCTCTTGGTTATTTGGCTGGACCGGGCTGCTGAGGGGAAGGTCTGCTGGGGAAAAGTCTGACAAAGACAGAAGCATCAGCTGGAGCCCTGTGAGTTTTGGTTCTGCTCTCCCATTTCCAGCTACTGCAGCATCTTGCTCTTGTCCCCAACATGCTTCAAGACCCCAGGACTCCTGGGGCTTACTATTTCTCCTCTTAGTCTGGCTCTGAGAAGCCTCAGAATTTCCGCTTCCTCCTGCTCTGGGACACTGTCCAGGGCCGTAGCCTACTGGCCTGAGGCTCCCACCCTGCTTTAATTTCCACCAACTCTAATGCTCCCAAATCCCGGCTGAGACGCCAGGCCAGGGTACAGCCTCACAGCTTATTCACGTGCACCAGCTGCCCAGAGACCATGGCGGGAGGGGGAGAAGCCTCTAGCCCCTGGTAGCTGTCCCCTGTAGGAGAAAAAATAACTTGCCTCTACACTTCTGAGTTCTTGGCTAAGAGCACCCTAATAAAAGACAGAATAACGAGAAAAACAAACATTCGTTTGTTCCTATGTATACCTCGTGTATATATGGGAGGCACCCGGGGAAAAATGAGTTAACTCTCCCAGGTGGCCTGAGCTAGCAGTTTAAATACCATCTTCAGCTAAAGACAAAAGAAAGAAAGGTGGGGGGTGGGGGGGTCAGTTGTGGGAGGTGACCATGAAAAAGCAGGGTAAACAGGGGTAAGTTTGTTAGGCAGATTTAAGTCTCTGCCTTTGTGGGAGATAAGATTCTCCTGTGATTTAGTCATCTTCTCTTCCTAGTTCAGAGAGGGAGACACTCAGACAAATGGAGATTTCCTTTATAAATGTAAATTTCCCTTTCTTTTCTTTTTCTTTTCTTTTTTTTTTTTGAGGAAGATTAGCCCTGAGCTAACTGCTGCCAATCATCCTCATGATGCTGAGTAAGACTGGCCCTGAGCTAACATCTGTGCCCATCTTCCTTTACTTTATATGTGGGATGCCTGCCACAGCATGGTGTGCCAAGCGGTGCCATGTCCTCACCCGGGATCCAAACGGGCAAACCCCAGGCCTCTGAAGCTGAACGTGCAAACTTAACCTCTGCGCCACCCGGCGGGCCCCTAAATTTCCCTTTCAGAAGAGTAATTTCTACTCTGTTTTCAGAGCTTCTCTCATGTCTGTTGCTTCGCAAAATAATCAGCTCAAAATAATCCTTATGCCCAGAAGGCATATTCGGGGAAGCGTATTCTGCTACCCTTCACCTCCCTCCCCAAACCTGGGCTCTCTGCCACTGCCCTAGGCAGCTTTCAGGAGAAAAAAAATGTCCTGGTCTAAAGTGAGACCAGTGTTGTTTCTTGGGTCACAAGACCTTTATGGGCTATGCCCCTGGGCACATCTTGGTGACACCAGGTTCTGGAGCAGCAGGACAGGGCAGCCTCCAGGGTCTGGCAGCTGCAGCGGCATCCTAGCCTTTGCTCGGTAATGAGCAACCACTAGCAGGCTTGAGGGTCTGAAGGCCCACAGCCAGCAGCCAGGCTGAAGGCCAAGGCTTAGCTCTCCTCTTTCAGACGCGGACCCCTCTGATGGGGAAAGCCGGCTGAATCCACCTGGGCTGGATCCTGCTTCATCTTGCTTCAGGTTCCCCTCCTTGTGAGTACCAGCCCCGGCCCTGGGGAAGCAGGAGCTGCCCCTCCCCACGCCCCCTCCCACCCTCCACTATATCCCTGGAGAAACCCATATACTTATAGACAGTCACTCCCAACACAGCTGACGCATGCCACACACACCTCAATAAACAAACATTCCCTCCTCCCCACGCAGGCAGCCCTGACATACATATGCATGAATTCCTCAGGACCTGAAAGCCAGCTGTGTTTCCAGTTGCCAGAGGGACCTAAAACAGACCTCTTCAAGGCTTGGACACACGAGAAACCTGGAGAGAGGGGCCATTCTGCAGGCAGTCAGGACCCCTCCTTCCTGCTGTCCCAGCGGAAGGCCCCCTCCGGGTCTTCCCTCCGTTCCAGCCAACCCCTCTTCTCCCCCTTCTTCCCCCCCCCCCCCCCCCCCCACCCCCGCTGCGGCCCCCCCTAACCCCGGCTGGATGTGGCAGTGTGGGGCGCCCTCATGCGGGCCACAGCGGCCCTGCAGCCTCGCCCCCGGCATCCCAGGCTGCCCTCCTCCCCCTGCACCCACGCCTCCCTTCCTCCCGGAGCCCTGGGCCGTGCTGTCCCACGGGGGTCACTGCTGTGCCACAGCCCACGCTTACTACTCCAAATGTCCTGCCTCCAACCCAGATTTCCTAATTTTACCTCTGAATATTTTCTCATTTATATTTTAAAATATAATGTTCCATGCATGCAAATAGACAATTTAACAAAATGTTAATCATCCGCGAGCCTGCCCCCCACCACCTCCGCAGGAGAGCTGAAACATCACTTAGTAACTTGCATCTTCCTTTGTGTTCCTCTTCAGCCACTCCCTCCTGTCTCTCCCAAGAGGTAACCACTGTCTTAAACTTCATGTTTTCTCTTGTGGTATTAAATACATTCAGAATGTTGTACAAACATCACCTCTGTCCATCTTCATAATTCTTTTCATCTTGTGAAACTGAAATATTATGCCCATTAAACAGCAACTCCCTATACCCCCTTCCCCAGTCCTGGCAACGGCCATGCTACTTTCTGTCTCTATGAATTTAACTACTCTTAGTATCTTATATAAGTGAAATCTTGAAGGCTTTGTCTTCCTGTGACTGACTTATTTCACTTAACATAATGTCCTCAAGGTTATCCATGTTGTGTCTTGTGTCAAAATTTCCTTCTTTTTTAAGGCTGAATGATATTCCATTGTCTGTATATATCACATTTTGCTTATCCATTCATTCCCAATGGACCTTGGGTTGCTTCCAAGTTTTAGCTACTGTGAATAATGTTTCTATGAACATGGGTGTACAAATATCTCTTTGAGACCATGCTTTCAATTCTTTTTGGTATATACTCAGAAGTGAAATTGCTGGGTCATATGGTACTTCTATTTTTAATTTTTTGAGGAACCGCCATACTGTTTTTCATGGCAGCTATACCATTTTACATTCCCACTAACAGTGCACAAGGGTTTCAATTTCTCCACATCCTCGCCAACACTTGCTGTTTTCTGTTTTTTTGGTAATAGCCATCCTAAAAGATGTGAGGTAGTATCTCACTGTAGGTTTTTTTTTTATAAAGATTGGCCCTCAGCTAACATCTGTTGCCAATTTTTTTTTCTTCTTCTCCCCAAATCCCCCCAGTACATAGTTGTATATTCTAGTTGTAAGTCCTTCTGGTCCTGCTATGTGGGATGCGACCTCAGCATGGCTTGATGAGTGGTGCTAGGTTTGCACCCAGGATCCAAACCAGTGAAACCACTTGGCCATGTGGCCAGCCCCTCACTATAGTTTTGATTTGCATTTTCCTAATGGTTAGTGATGTTGAGCATCTTTTCATATGCTTATTGACCATTTTTATATCTTCTTTAGAGAAACGTCTATTCAACTCCTTTGCCCATTTTTGGATCAGGTTGTTTGTTTTTTGTTGTTGAGTTTTAGGAGTTCTCTGTATATTCTGGTTAGTGATCTCTTTTCAGTTGTATGATTTGTAAGTATTTTCTTGAATTCTGTGGGTTGCCTTTTTACTCTGTGGATAATGTCTTCTTTTTTTTTTTTTTTTTTTGAGGAAGACTGGCCCTGAGCTAACATCTGTCCCCACCTCCCTCTACTTTATATGTGGGACACCTGCTGCAGCATGGCTTACAAGCAGTGCGTATGTCCACACCCATGATCCAAAGCAGTGAACCCCAGGCCGCTGAAGTGGAACATGTGAGCTTAACTGCTGCGCCACTGGGCCGGCCCCCCTGGATAATATCTTTTGATGCACCAACTTTTAAAATTTTCATGAAGTCCAACTTATCTATTTTTTCTTTTGTTACCTTTACCTTTGGTGTCATATCCAAGAAATCATTGCCAAATCCAATGTTGTGAAGCTTTTGTCTTGTTTTCTTCTAAGAGTTTTATTGTTTTAGTTCTTACATTTAGGTCTTTGATCCACTTTTGAGTTAACTTTTGTATGTGGTGTTAGGTAAGGGTCAATTACATTCTTTGTATGTGGATATACAGTTTTCCTAGCACCATTTGTTGAAAAGATTGTCCTTTCTCCCACTGAATGGTCTTGGCATCCTTGTTAAGAATCGCTTGACCATATACGCAAGGGTTTATTTCTAGCGTATGCTGTTCCATCCATCTATATGCTTGTCTTTATGCCAATACTACATTGTTTTGATAGCAGTAGTTTTGTAGGAAGTTTTCGAGTCAGGAAGTGTGAATCCCCTCACTTTGTTCTTTTTCAAGATTGTTTTGGCTATTCAGGGTCCCTTGAGATTCCATGTGAATTTTGGGATGGGTTTTTCTACTTCTGCAAGAAACATCATTGCGGTTTGATAGGGATTGTACTGCATCTACAGATTGCTTTGAATACTATTGACATTTTAACGATATTAAGTCTTCTAATCTATGAACATAGGATGTGTTTCCGCTTATTTGTCTTTAATTTCTTTCAACAATGTGTTGTAGTTTTCATTGTATAAAACTTTTATCTCCTTAAGTTAATTCTTGAATATTTTATTCTTTTTGATGTGATTGTAAATGAAATTGTTTTCATAATTTCCTCTTCAGATTGTTCATTGTTAATGTATCGAAATGCAACTGATTTTTGTGTGTTGACCTTGTATCCTGTTACTTGGCTGAATTCATTTATTAGTTCAAATAGGTTTTTTTGTGTGTCTATGGAGTCTCTAGGGTTTTCTACATATAAGGTCACATCATCTGCAAATGATAATTTTACTTCGTTCTTTCCAATTTGGATGCCTTTTATTTACTTATTTTTCTTCCCTAGTTGCTCTGGCTAGAATCCCCAGTAATATATTGAATAGAAGTTGTGAAAGCAGGCATCCTTGTACGTTCCTGATCTTAGAGAAAAAGCATGCTTTCACCATTGAGTATGAGGTTTGGCTGTGGATTTTTCATATATGGCTTTTTTATGTTGAGGTAGTATCCTTCTATTCCTAGTTTTTGGAGCGTTGTTGTTTTTTAACATGAAGAGGAGTTGAATTTTGTTAAATGCTTTTTCTGCATCAATTGGGATGATCATATGGGGTTTTTTCCCCTACATTCTGTTAATGTGGTATATTACATTGATTGATTTTCTTATGTTTAGCCATTCTTGCATTCCAGGAATAAATCCTACTTGGTCATTGTGTATAATCCTTTTAATATGCATCTAAATTTGGTTTGCTAGTATTTTGTTGAGGATTTTTGCATTAATGTTCATAAGGGATATTAGTCTGTAGATTTCTTTTCTTGTAGTGTTTTTGTCTGGTTTTAGTATCGGTAATACTGGCCTCAGAGAATGAGTTAGGAAGTGTTCCTTCCTATTCAGCTTTTTGGGAAAAGTTTGAAAAGAATTGGTCTTAGTTCTTTTTTAAATGTTGGTAGAATTCACCAGTGAAGCCATCACATCCAGGGTTTTTCTTTGTCAGGAGATGTTTGATTACTAATTCAAACTTCTTATTAGTTATGGGTCTATTCAGATTGTCTGTTTCTTCATGATTTAGTCTTGGTAGGTTTGCTGTTTCTAGGAATTTGTCCATTTCATCTAGATTATCCAATTCATTGGCATACAATTGTTGATAGTACTCTCTTATAATCATTTTTCATTTCTGTAGCATTGGTAGTAATGTCCCCACTTTCATTTCTTATTTCAGCAATCTCAGTCTTCTCTCTTTTTTTCTTAGGCCATCTAGTTAAAAGTTTGTCAATTTTGTTGATCTTTTCAAAGAACTAGCTTTTGGTTTCACTGATTTTCTGTATTGTTTTTCTACACTCTATATCATTTATCTATGCTCTAATCTTTATTATTTCCTTGCTTCTGCTAGCTTTGGGATTAGTTTGTTCTCTTTTTTCTAGTTTCTGAAGGGATAAAGTTAGCTTGTTGATGTGAGAGCTTTCTTGTGGTTTTTTTTGAGGAAGATTAGCCCTGAGCTAACTACTGCCAATCTTCCTCTTTTTGCTGAAGAAGACTGACCCTGAGCTAACATCCATGCACATTTTCCTCTATTTTTATATGTGGGATGCCTACCACAGCATGGCTTTTTGCCAGTCGGTGCCATGTCTGCACCCAGGATCCGAACTGGCAAACCACGGGCCGCGAGAAGCAGAATGTGCGAACTTAATCACTGCACTACTGGACTGGCCCTGGCTTTTTTATTTCTTTTTTGAGGAAGATTAGCCCTGAGCTAACTGCTACCAATCCTCCTCTTTTTGCTGAGGAAGACTGGCCCTGAGCTAACGTCCATGCCCATCTTCCTCTACTTTATATGTGGGCTGCCTGCCACAGCATGGCTTGCCAAGCGGTGCCATGTCCGCACCCGGGATCCGAACCGGTGAACCCGGACCACCGAAGTGGAACGTGTGCACTTAACCGCTGCACCACTGGGCAGGCCCCGCTCCAGAATTTCTTTTTGGTTTCTTTTTATGGTCTCTATCTCTTTATTGATGTTTCCATTTTGCTCATTTGTCATTGTCTTGACTTTCTCCACATCTTTCTTTGGTTCTTTGAGTATCTTTAAGACAGTTGTTTTAAAGTCTTTGCCTAGTATATCTGCCATCATCTCCTTTTCAGAGACGGCTTCTACTATTTTATTTTTTCCTTTGAGTGGGTCATATTTCCCTGTTTCTTTGTATGCCTTGTAATTTTTGTTGAAAACAACATTTTAATCAAATAATGTGCTAACTCGGGAAATCAGATTCTTCCCCTTCCCAGGTTTGATACTTATTGTTTTTGTTTATGGTGTGGTTTTTTGGAGGCTGTCTTGTGCCAAGGATTAACCTGAGGTGTAAACTTAAGGTCTTTTCAGGTATTTTATGAGCCTTT